AAATCACTGTGACACTGTCTGTGTGTGTGTGTGTGTGTGTGTGTGTGTGTGTGTGTGTGTTACATGTCTGTAACCCTGAGGAAATGGACAGACTTGATGACCTTGTGAACTGGCAATAGCTCTAGCCTTGGATTCAAGAACATTAATGTATTGTCTTCCTCAATTCCTCATGAACCCTGTGGCAATAAAGAGCAAATATTTCATATATCTATGCCTGCCTCCTTTTGTGCCTCAGTGTGGGCTCAATGGCAGTGCACAACATTCAGAAATGGAAAAAGAAACAAGGTTTCTTTTTCTCATTTTCTTCAGATGGTACATCACATTTAATTTTTCCCCTAAAAATATTTCTCAGCATTCCTTTCCTTTTTTTGTGAAGAAATAGTCTGCTTTGTACACACTATCACAATTTCCCTAAGCATGCTGTAGTGCAGATTTGGATCTGGACTATAATTATTCCTTGCAATTGAAAAGTTGAAGAGTACAGAGCTTCATTTGATTTGAGTTTTTAGACTCCTCACCACTATGCTGATGTGTAACAGTTGTCATGGAGACTAACCTGCACCCATTATGAGGCCTGGGGCAGAATCTTTAGTGTGGACTGTTCCAGATACGTACGGGTTGTCAGCCCATCGCAAGTGGAGATGGAGGTGACAGTCAGGCTAGGAAGAGACAAAAAAAAATTTTTTTTTTTTGCACTTTGGCAATCATGACAATCTGATTACCAAATAGATGCACCACCAACCAGTGTTTTACATAAGGTGTGCACTTAGTAGAGAATCTAGACTCATTGAAAAACACACAAAACTTGCTTTAACACACACTAATAACAGTCTAAGTTCTACAGTAAGCAGTCCATAATTCAAAACCACTTCACAAGTCATACTACATAATGTTCCGGATAAAAGATGGATCAGAGCATGAATATACATGCATATTTAAGGTGCCAAAAACCTCAACAGGGTTGCAATAAAAAAGGAGAAGAAATGGCAAGATGAGCAGTCAAAATGATAAAAAATGAGTGAGGAAGGAAGAAAGAGTGTTGACAAGTGAGGAGGAGAAGAGAACAATGAGAAAAAAGACATGTCAAACAGACAGCTGAGAGATGAAGATGTGAGAACGGTTGGCTAGACAGACAGGAAAGGAGAGAGAAGCCGATATATGTCCTTTCAACTTGTGATTTATATCTTATTTCGTCTTGTCTCAGGTTTGCCAGAAACCTTATTTGTGTCTTAATTAATGGCCAGCTACCAGTCACAGTATTTAAAATGGGCATTTATAATGATACATATCATCTTTAGCTGTGTGTGTGTGTGGGGATTGATGACTCAGATCGTTTGTCTCATGAGACAGCAGCAGAATCAGTGGCTGCTCTGCCCACCAACTCTCAACTGAAAACAGCGGGAGATGAGTCAGATCGAGGGGTCAGTGACTTCACGTCTGTGTCTGAGACAGTTGCGGTACAATCTTCCTGAACAGGAAAAAAGCTGAGTGTGGGCTGGATGTATATCTGTAGATGTATAATGAATTAAAGTCACGATTTTGTAGGTATGAATATGCAATGAGCTGAAGGGAAAATGACATCTGCACAATTATATTTTAATCAAATGTGGAGTTTGCAAACTGTTTTTAGTTTGTGAGTATGTTATGTACACTTCCGTTCAAAACTTTGGGGTCTGTAAGAGTTTTTTAATGGTTTTTTGCTCACAACAGCTGCATTTATTTGAGCGAAAATACAGTAAAAGAGGAATATTGTGAATTTTATTACAATTTAAAACAACAGTTTTCCTATTTTAATCTTTTAATAATTTATTCCTGTGATGCAAAGCTGAATTTCAGTAGTCATTACTGCAGTCTTCAGTGTCACATGATCCATCAGAAATCACTGTAATATGCTGTTTTGGTGCTCAAGAAACATTTCTTATTGTTATCAAAATTGAAAACAATTGTGCTGATAAATATTTTTGTAGAAACCATTATATATTTTTTCCAAGAATCTTTGATAAATAGAAAGTTCAAAAGAACAGCATCTGAAATAGAAATCTTTTGTAACAAAGTTTTTACTGTCACTTTTTATTTATTGAATTCGTTTTGAATAAAGGTATTAATAAAAGTATTACATTTCTTTTCTAAAAAATAATAATCTTACTAAATGTTTGCACGGTAGCTTACTTATGAATATCCCATGTAAATAATATGTTTGAGAATCCAAGTATTAACTGAAAGGTATAAAAAGGGGCTTAAAAACAAAAAAACTATTCTGCTTAACTTTCATTGTCCCCCTCAAACTCAGTCCTACACAAATAAAATGGGTGCAGAAGCTAGACCAGAAGTAATTTAGCACTGATAGATACATAGAAATGCAAAAGACCATTTTAATTGCTGGAATGGAAGCTGGAATGAGGAATGAGCAGACCAATTTACCTGCTTGCAGCTGACAGGTTTGCCATTCATATCAGTTGTGGGAGGAGCCAGTGGTTCCCAGTCTCTGCCTTTGTTGTAGGTGATGAGAGTCATCACTTTTCCATCTACTTTTTGATTGGCTAAGAATACGCCCTTGATGCCACGAACCTGAAAAACACACACAACCAAAAGATGTGGCAGAGTTACTAGACATCAGAAGCAGTCACACCCAATTTTTATGTGTGTGTTTTTAAAGTGTTACAGGGAAAGGTCTCTAACAATGTAAACTTTACCACAGCTAAAGGGGCTTAAAAACAAAACAAAAACTATTCTGCTTAACTTTCATTGTCCCCCTCAAACTCAGTCCTACACAAATAAAATGGGTGCAGAAGCTAGATCAGAAGTAATTTAGCACTGATAGATACATAGAAATGCAAAAGACCATTTTAATTGCTGGAATGGAAGCTGGAATGAGGAATGAGCAGACCAATTTACCTGCTTGCAGCTGACAGGTTTGCCATTCATATCAGTTGTGGGAGGAGCCAGTGGTTCCCAGTCTCTGCCTTTGTTGTAGGTGATGAGAGTCATCACTTTTCCATCTACTTTTTGATTGGCTAAGAATACGCCCTTGATGCCACGAACCTGAAAAACACACACAACCAAAAGATGTGGCAGAGTTACTAGACATCAGAAGCAGTCACACCCAATTTTTATGTGTGTGTTTTTAAAGTGTTACAGGGAAAGGTCTCTAACAATGTAAACTTTACCACAGCTGAGCTATTTTAGTTCACTATGCAAAAGGTAGGATGTAAAGCTCACACTGCCTTGTTTTACAAAGGTGCTTGTGGGGTGAAATGCTGACCTCTAGGATGTCGATGAGGACATTCTCTTCAGGCTGCTTGGTGCTACGGACGTTCTCCAACACAATGGAGTAATAGACTCCTTGTGGATCTGACTGGTAGAGGTTGTACGTGTCTGTCTGATACCATTCCTGCAGAGCCAGGAATACCTGATTCTCGTCTGTACTCACAATTTGCACATCCTGCACAGAAAGACAAAAACAGAGAAAAGCAGAAAGATACCACACAAGGAGATTAGAACCTCATGTAAAGATAAAAGTGAAATAAGTTCAATGCAAATTACAGTTTCAGTTTTCTCAGCAGGTACAAATAATTAACATCATAATTCGTTTGGGCTTGCGTCTTTGTGTGAAGAGAGACAGAAAAGCTGAATGCTTTCACATGTGCTTACAGAAAACAACCACAAAAAAGTGCTGCATATAAATCCTTGGTGATTATACTTAGTTGCTTTGAAATGAAAAGTTTATTTTGAGCTGCTGTGAAGAAATGAGTTGGAACATGAACTGTGTAGGGACAGATTTAGATGTAACGAAAGCATGAACATTTAATGAATCCATCCTATAATTAGCTCTTCTGGTTTGCCTTAAAATACCGAATCAACATTAAGCTCCTCAGTTTTGGTAGCTTAGCTGCATACAGTCATGTGCTGTGGCAATGACTGTGCCAGGACGGGGGAGTTTGTCACCATGTTGCTCTTCCCGATAAAGTGAAAGTGGGTCGCATTAATTTAGGCACAAAGATGAAGGGTACAAGCTCATGCCCCCAGCTGAATTAATTCATAAGAACTTAAGTGAAGAGCTAGCAAAGTCCCTGAAGTGCTGAGTAGCTTTAATGTGCTTCAGAGACCAAATTCTAAGGCTATTTCTCACTTATGTCCCACTAACAGCAGTTTAGAGGCACTGAACCCCTCTGTGAGAGGTCAGTTACACAACACCTGTTTGCTCTGAGAATTAAAGAATGGAATAGGGAAGATAAGGATAAAGTAACACGCTTAAAGAGCATCTGTAACTACTTGTGTGTATGCATATGCATATGGACCAACACACACTACGTATCTCTACTGTACATGCAGCTTCTATATAAAGAATGATTTTAGGCACAGAAAACTTTCCAAGAGGCTTCAATAAAGTCATCCTGGAAATGTCTACTTATGGGTTTCAAAAATCGTTATTATGACATGATGTGCATTCAAATGATTTTGGTCAGAATTAAATAGATTTGCCAGACAATTTCATATTTCTCTGGCTTTTTCACTTCCCAAAATGACAAGAAGTTTTTTCTAATGCAACACTGTCAGTCCTGTGTCTTGAGTTTTCCTCCCCCACGTGCTCCATTTATGCTCCATTATTCAGTTTATGCCCATGTTTGGTTTCTTTCCTGTTCCTGTTCCCTGATTGTGTTCTATTGTTCCCAGGTGTTTGTTCATTGATTCAGGTGTGTCTGATTAATTCCCTCGTTAAGTTCCCTTCTTAAGCTCTGTTCTGTTTAGTTTCCCTCGTCCGGTATTGAATGTCATCTTTCCCCCCTACGTGTGTTTTCCTGGTTCCCTTGATGTCATTAAAGTCTCTTTGTTCGAAGTATACTCCACGTCTCCTTGTTCCTTGTTCCTCGCTCCACGCTCCCTTCACAGTAGCGAACGTGACAAACATAATGATGAACATTAGCTGTATAACTTGTGTTGCATCTGTATATTTTATCATTCTTGTGGTGCCACAGAGCATGACAGAAAATGTGGTCTGGTCTGTCTCCTCATAACCCGGCTAAATTAGTTGTTTTCTGGCAAGATTTATCACTATTTTTCATCAAAACACAAAATGCATGCAAACAAAATGGTACCATCAACATTCACAATTCCAACTTATTTTGATCAATGACCCAACTCGGAAAGTCTTGACTTAAAGAGAGTTTAGTGTGAAGAAAAAAACAAAAACAAAAACCTTCTAAAAAAAACTCTTCCAACTCACTATTAAAGAGGCTTCTAATCCTGTTTCAGCCCTATGTTCTCTTCCTTCCCAAAATATCTTTCTATATTCACACACAAACACTTCTGAAAAGTACCAATTTCCCCTGAAGACTTAGACTATTCTGAAGAAATGAAAGCAAATTTCAGAGAAGCTCTTATATAGAGGTGAGTGTAAATGTGTACATGGCTTTACAGATATTATTTCCAATTAAATGTACCCTTTTACCAACCTTAGTTGTCAGGAGGTTCATGATGACATCTGGAAATAAGCAATCACAAATTGTAATAGCCGAGTGATTGCTTCCATGTTTGCTATTTAATTTTTCGATCAGATTTGGACATGGTACTGAACACGCCTCTTGTCTAAAACTGCAATGTAATTCCTATCTGTTGATTTGGGGTCAAATATGAATAGCTCAACATGTCTTAGTTAGTTGTGAATTAAAATTTTAACAATGAGGTCATCTTCCCATCAAGGCTTACACAAGACAGTGAAGTCATCGCTGTTAAACACATCTGCTGAAAGTTCCCCTGGAGAGAGTGGAAGTTTTAAATGAGGATTATAAAATCATCGAAATCAGCACACAAACAGCAACAAGAACAACAGAGCAAGAGGATTAAAAGAGGAAACTGTGAGTGAAGCACTTTCATTTTCTTTTTAAGTCTTACATTTTCCTGGCTGGATAGGTCCTGTCTTTGTCTATCATACTGTGTGATAGGACACTCAGGTCCCTAGTACTGATAACAGCACTATCAGAACTTAAGACAGCACTATCCATCTGTCTCTGACAGCAGGCACAGGACCCCGATCAGCCAAGACACAGCTGCAGGACATTTGTGGCTCTGCCAACAGCCACAATCCGTGAGTGCATTATCAGCAGGCTAACCGAGTGTCTAAGATAGAAGGATGGGATAGGTAACTACAAAGGGATGGATGGAAAGACAGGAAATCTGTAAAGAAAAATAAAAAAAGAAAAGAAATGAAATGGCATATTAAGACTCCAGCAGAATGTTTGCTTTTTCTCTGTGTCTGGTGGTTTAATTGTGCTCCAATAGTGGTGCATTTGAATTCTGGTCATGCGGTTCCATTCTTGAAGCGGAGAAATAATTATTTTTTGGCCCAAATCAATAGTATTGTTTCTATTCACAGTCTGCTTCAAGTAAAAGAGCACTGGACCCTTTTTAAGTGATTTTGTGTGGTTCAGGGGCGATTACAATTTGATTGCAATACCAACATTTATCTAAGCTGAAACATTTAAAGCAGGCTTGCAAAATTAGAGATGCAACACAAAGTTAAATTTTCCAGAATGGCGTCATTTCTCAAGTGCACTTAATGATTGGAGATCAAGTTGACTGAAATGTGCCTCTTGAAATTTGACACGCTAATGATATTTGTTCATTTTAGATGGGCTCACTACCTTGCTGAAACACTAAATGGCAAACATCTTCTTTAAAGGGAAAGATTTTTTATTTTCTGAAAAACACACATTCTTCTGTGTTCCACATGTCATGCAGGTTTTGAACAACAAGGGTGAGTAAATGATGATACAATGTTCATTTTTGGGTGAACTATCCCTTTTTTTAAATAAAAAGCAGCCTACTTCATGCAAATTTTTAAAACAATAAACAAACAAACTAATTATTTGAGATGAGTTTTAAAATCAGTAAAATGAAGGATGAAAGGGGAAAAAAAGAAAGGAAGAAGTGGAGCTTAGCCATTTAGTGCCCTAGGTATGTTACAACAAACAAATCGTCCCACTGGAGCCAAGGACCATCATTAATCCATAACGTAAAGAACTGAACTTCAGGAGAGACCTTAGACTGCATACTGAAATTGGGTTTTGCATTTTTCAAAAGGTTTTCAATTATTCACTGTGGAAAATATGAGCACAACATCAGCCAACCCCATCTCTCTCACACACTCCTGCTCTCTTCTGGGTTCTTGAACCGGGTGTCTAAAATTTGACCTATCTGCTCAGTCAAGCGACAAGCAACTAAAAGAGCACAGAAAAGCGGGTCTAGAGAGGGAAAAAAACACCAATATGGCTTTAACCCACAAATGACACCACAAAAGGGAAATGATAAATATATCCAAAAACCCTTGCATATGCACTGAGCGAATAAAAATATAGCATTTTCAACTTCTACAGTAATTAAATCAAAGCTTTTATCCTTTGCCACTAAGACAAATGCCTGGTAATCTAGGGCATCGTTTTAGTAGTACTTTTTCTCTTACACTTTTCTCTCTCTCTTTCACTCTGTTACAGTGAATCCGTGGTTGGCATAGTTACAAATGCCATTGACAGCAGCTGCCCTACAGCCTCTCTCCTTTCCCTGCCTCTTTTTCTTTGAGGTGAAATATACATGAAGCAGGCCCCTCTGGCCTCCACTCCAATCAATGTTATTCAATTACAGTCAGCCAGCATTTTACTGAAGTACTCCCTTGGGTTAGAGCCACAGACAGCCTGGTCAGTCATCAGCTGTAACCCTTAGCCAGCTGTCTTCTTTCGCCGGCATATTACTGCCATACATCACGGCTCCTCAGTAGGTTAAACCCACATCTGGGTTGTAATGGTGTAGTGTTTCAATGCTAGACACCAACTGTGCTCTTCAGTTCATACATATTGCTGTAATACGTCATAGTTAGTCTCAGGCTTTAAAGTGAAATCCACAACAGCTGCAGTTGATAAAAGAACAATAACCACCTTCAAACAGTATTTCACATTTAGTACATAGTTCATGACAAAAACAGCAGTAACTTCAAACACAAAACTAAACATGCACATGAAGCTGCTACAGTAGATGTTAGTAAAAAAGTACCAAAATTAATCTTAGGATATTTAACATTTATGCACCAGTTTCCCTGTTTGTTTCACTCCATTTGTCTGTGTTTGCAAGTTTTGGACATGCTGACAGTCTGTGCATTAGTGGTGGCTATTTTTCAGTGACTATTACTGCAAGTTACATCAGTACACCAGTAGGTGGCATCAAGTGACTGTATTTATAAGCGAGTCATTGAATCATTTATTTAACCAATTTGATCAAACTCACTGATTCATTCAGCAATTAAACTTCAGGTTTCAGTCATGGAATCATTTACTCAACCAATGTGTTCAAAAACACTGATTTATTCAGGAACAAATCACCAGTTTTAATTAAAAAACAGCAATCTTGATATGTGTGATATTGCTTAATTTACAGTGATGTGATTGAATGAGACTAAATAGCAGAAAGTTAAAAATACATTTTAAACAATCAATATGGAAACACATTTATGATATTAAATATCACTTTGCATTACCTTTGTACAAAAAAAGTGTCTGATACACTACATAAAAATGTTTTTAAACATACAAATGGTTTTTTTTTTTGCCAAGAATACAACCCAAAAGTCATTTCAGAGTAAATATTGGTCATTTAACAGCCACATTTCTGAGGACCGTACCTTTGGAAGGTCATATTTAGGTAATCTCATCTGAACAAATTCATTCCTTCGGTATGAGACGTAATACTTGGTTCGATTTCCTGTAGTTACCTAAAAAAAAAAAAAAAAATTAAAGACTGTTTTTATTTCACTATCCCAATTTTGAGACAAACCACTCTCACTTTCCTATTCATCCTTTTCAATCTCAATTCACAATGTCGATTTTACCTGCTGGTATTATCCCAACAGATTCAGTCTCTACTAGCACTGAATCAAAAGCTCTGTCTGTTGGTCTCTATGGTTTACATAAATTGTGTCCACTGTGCAACAGCATGACTTTGACCGAACACAAACATTTCACACAATGTAGTCCTGTTTCTCAAGGGCATATCTGAATTCCTTTGCAACAGCTGCAATCCCTTCAAAAAACAACTGAGCAGGTGAGGGGGGGATGAGGGAGAGTGAGAGAAATTAATATGTCCTTGAGTTATTGGCTAATTATAAAAGATCC